GACTGAGCCACCCAGGCACCCTGCTTTTTTAAATTCTTAATGATATATGCTGGTGAATAATAAAATAATCTTTAACCCCTTTTTTTTTATAACTTTATTGAGATACAATTCATATACCATACAATTCACCTATATAAAATGCACAATTCAGTGATTTTCAGTATGTTTAGAGTTGTGCAACCATCACTACTATCAATTTTAGAACATTTTTATCATCTCAAAAAGAAACCCTTAACCCATTAGCAGTCACTTCCCATTTCCTTCCCAACCCTTAGCTCTAGGCAGCGAAACTGTCTATAGAATTGCCTATCATGGACACTTCATACAAATGGAATCATACAATATGTGGTCCTTTGTGGCTAGCTTCTTTCACTTAGCATAGCTTTTAAAGTTCATTCATGTTGTAGCATGAGTCAGTACTTTATTCTTTTTGTTATTGAATAATATTCCATTGTATGGCTAGATCATATTTTGTTTATCCATTCATCAGTTGATGGGCATTTGGGTTATTTCTAACTTTTGACTGTTATGAATAATGCTGCTATGAACTTTCTTATACGAGTGTTTGTATGAAAATACGTTTTCATTTCTCTTGAGTATATTCCTAGGAGTGGAATTGCTATTTCGTTTGATAATTCTGTGTTTAACATTTTGAGGGAATGCCACTGTTTCCAAACCAGTCCCACCAACAGTGTATGAAGGTTTTGATTTCTCCACATCCTCACCAACACTTGTTATTATTTGTTTTTTTTTATTATAGCCATCTTAGTTGGTATGCTTATTCCTGTTCACAGTCACATAGTACCCCGTTGAGTGGTTATACCACAGTTCATGCAGCCCATCACCAGGTGGACATTTGGGTTGTTGCCTTTCTTTTGCTATTACAAATCATGCTTCAGTAGATAACTTTTTGTTTATGTCTTTGCATATTTTTGCCAGTATTACCTTAAGGATATAGTCCCAGAGGTGAGATTGCTACATCAAAGGGTAAATGCATATGTAAGTTTGCTAGATATTGCCAAATTCCTCTCCATAGAGGTTGCAGCATTTCATATTCCCACCTGCAGTGTAGGAGAGTACCTGTTTCCTTGCTGCCTCCCAATAGAGTGTGTTGTTGAACTTTTAGAGTGTTACCATCCTTGTAGATGAGAAATCATATCCTGTGATAGTTTTAATTTTTACTTATCTTATTATAAACAAGGTTGAGCATCTTCTCACATGAGTAACAGTCATCTTAATTTCTTTTTCTGTGAATTGTCCCTTCATGTCTATATCCCCATTTTTCTCTAGAGTTGTTAGCCTTTTTTTCTTTATATATTAGAAAAATTTACTCTTGGGACACCTGGGTGGTTCAGTCAGATAAGCATCCGACTCTTGGTCTCAGCTCACACCTTGATCTCAGGGTCATGAATTCAAGCCCCGTGTTGGGCTCTGTGCTGGGTGTGGAGCCCACTTTAAAAAAAAAGAAAAAGAAAAAGAAGAGAAGAAATATTTACTCTTTGTCTTGCTTATAATTGTAACATTTCGCCCCAGTTTGGTATTTGCCTTTTTACTTTGTTTACAGTGTTATGTCACCATGGAAAAGTTCTTTATTTTTATGAAATCAAATTTAATAGTTTTTTCTCTTATTATTTCAGGTTTTGAGGCATATTTAGGAACATTTTTCCATCTTACAAGTTATAGAGAAATTTACTCAAGTTTTCTTTTTGGACTTCTCTGTTTAATTTTTTATATTTAAATTCTCTGATCTATTTAGAATTGTTTTCTGGTGTATGTTATTTATTGTGTATAGCTATCCAATTATCTAATTGTCCCAATACCAGCTACTAAAAAGTCCATTTTTACCCCTATGGATTTGAGATTCTGTTTGTTCTAATTTAAAAATGCTATTGGATTTATTTCTGTATTTTCTATTTTTCCATTGGCCTCTCTGTTCAGGTACTCAACTTATTTACAGAAGCTTTGTAATCAAGTTCAAATAACTGATAAAAGTAGCCACCTTCATCCCCAGTTGCTGTACTTTTTCAGGGTTTTCCTTACAATTCTTGTTTATATGTTCTTTAAGCTTTATTATCCACTTGTCCAGCTCTTGAAAAAAACATAATTTTTTAAATTATTGGGTTTGCTTTTTATTTATCACCTACCTCCAAACTTATATCTTTATGGTATTTGAGTCTTCCCATCTAAGAACATGTTATGTGTCTCTATTTGTTCAAGTTTATTTTTTGGTCTTTCAGGAGTGTTTGTTTTCCTCAACATTTTGGAATTTCTCTTGCTCACATATTTTATTTTATTTTTTGCTCTTATAATTGAGGGCTTTTCTTTCCTATGTCTTCTTCCTGATTTGTCTGTAAGTGCTGTTGATTTGTTTACTATAGTGTTCCCATAGATTCTCTTGGGTTTTTTAGGTGTATAAGCATATACTATGAAAATTCCAATTTCTCCTGTCAAATTCTTACGCTTTAGATTGCTTTCTTTTGTCTAATGGTATGAGCAAATACCTTCAACACAATATTAAATTATAGTGGAGATAGTGGGCATTTTTACCTTGTTCCAGATTTAGTAGGAGATACTCTCATGTTTCTCTATTAAATATAAGATCCTGGTTTGGGCTGAGTTTTATATTTATTTTATCATTTTAAGGAAGTATACCATCGATTCCCGTATGATTATGGTACTCTTATCATTCTTCTATCTCTCTCTCTCTCTCTCTCTTTTTTTTTTTTTTGGCTAGAATAATTCCATAGAGAGAAACATTCCTTCATCATCTGTCTTTCATTTTTTAAACAGAGAGAATAGACTTGTTTAAAGGGTTTGCATTAGAGATTTCCCCTCCCCTGTCAAATTTGTGTGAAGAAAATATTTGTACTATTTCACTTAAGAGGACAGTTTGGCTAATGTTTTTCTTAAACTAGTACCGCCATGGTTCATTTAAGGAAATCCCCCAAGAGTTGCTAAGTAATATAAAGTGCTGCATTCATGGCTAAGCGCAGCCGTTTGGATTGTGTTAACATTGGCCTAATTCTGGTGAGTCACATGTTTGATTTTAAACCTGCACTTTATTTATTAGAATGCCCCAAATAGATGTTTTAACATTTCATTTTCAAAGTATGGATATTGAATTTAAGTAAGATAATCTGTGTTGTAGTTTTGAGAGTAAGACATAATTGTTTTCTTTCAGTGAAAGGAAACCTACCATGCAGAAAAATAAAAGACTTAAGGAGAGCTTCTATTTACTTACCTAGAAAGCATCTTCATTAATGTTCGAGTGTTACTGTATTTTGTTTCTCTGCTGATATAGCCTATATTTTCAGGGCTTTTGTCTTCCAAATGTTTTGGGGTTGATATTTAGTATACATTGCATACTCATATTAAACAGATAACTGGTGATGATAGGTAGTAGGGCAAAGGGTATTGGTTAGGAGAAGCCAACCTGATATTGAAAATTTCTCTTGGTAAAATCTAAAAAATTGGTAATTTCACAAGATAATAGAAAGTTGATTGTGTGTCTAATTTTACATTCATATTTAATGCTCAATTAGGCATCCATCATTTCTCGTAAAAAAGAAGCCAAAGCTGAGGAACTTCAGGAAGCAAAGGAGAAATTAGCCAACCTAGAGAGAGAGGTGTCAGTGAAGACAAATCAGACCCGTGAATTTGATGGCACCGAAGTTTTGAAGGGAGATGAAGTAAGTTAAGGTGTCTAATGGGACAAGGATATGAATATTGTTTTTGTTTGAAAACATTCATGTTTTTTACTTTTTTGGTTTGAATATCAGTAATGGAAAGTTAATTTTATTTTATAAAACCTATTTATTTAAAACTGAAAAGTCTTTGCAATAATATTAAGATATTCTTGCTTTTAATGACATAGATCTTAGTAATTTTATGAGATAATGTTCCAAATTTTTACTTTTTAATTAAGCAAATCTATATTGGTTTTATTAATTATAAATATTAAGTTATAAAAGTAAGGCAAAATGAGTAGGAACTAACAGATAAGACAAAAATTCATATTCATTGATAAATGTCATCCCAGAAAGGGATGAGAAAATAGTATCACTAAGTTACTCTGTCAGTAATGTGTATTTAGCCACTGGAACTGGCACCATTTAAATGATTTCATTGTAGATGCTTGTAAATTTTAAAAATACAACTCTATCTTGTGTTGCTGTATACTTAAATTTTTGAACAATGTTTTAACAGCTGTTATTTCATTTATCCTTCTGTCAGACTTGTGAGATTAGTAGGACAAGTAATATTGTCATTTGTATATATGGCTAAACTTAAGCACCAAAAATATAACACCCCATCTCATTTTCATAAAATTAGCTAAAGAAAGAATGAATAAATGAAGCAAAATATCTTGTTTTTAGTACAGCGCTTTTTTTTTTTAAGGCAAATCAAGTGATAGGTGTTATTTTAATTCCCAATCATTGCCTGTACTTTGCCACTTCTTATAGCTCATTATTTTATATTAGCTACTTAGCTATTAGGCCTCAGCAAAAACTACTTCGAAAAGCTGCTCACATCCAAACTTCATTTTTGGCTTTGTATTCAAATTCATATTTGTTACCAAATTCATACTGTTACAAATTGGCAGTGAACCTTCACTGTGTCAGACACAAATGAGTTGTTCCCACGGTACCACTTTTCTCTGTGGTGTTACCGATTGTAGCCTCCCAGTATGCTGTAAGCCTTTTGAAAAGTAGTAGATTTCAGCAGTCAGCATGTGACTGAAAAATTACTTTGGCTTTTAACATCCACTTCCAGTTTGCTTTAAGAGATGGGAATATTTTAAATGTTACTTGGAAGCTAACAGGGTGTGCTTTGTGACATCCTTGCAATCCAGTGGGGGGGCGGGGGCGTTAATTATGCAGTAATTTTGTTTTATAAGAGACCATGCTACCTCCTACCATTTTTGTCTTAAGAAAATGCTGCCCAATTGACGAGAAATACTAATTGCCGTGGTCACATTTGGCATGAATAGTGCAATGAATTTATGAATTCAGCATTAGATATTCCTTCTATGCAGATGTGAGGGGGAAAGAACATGGTGCCAACCTATTAAGTTTTATTTTTGATAAATTATAGTGAATAGGAGAAGTGTATGATGACAGAAAAAGCATACTTTTTTTAAGGGGAAAAAAGATAACTTTGGAAATGATAAGGTCAACTTAATTTTTAAACAATATCTGGTCAGAAACTGGAACAAATCAAGTAAATCATTTGGCAGTTACTTAAAAGAACAGAAGGTATTGGGGAACATTAAGCATAATTTTGTAAAGGACAAATCTTGGTAGACCAGTTTTATTTTCTACTTTGATAAAGTGATAGACCATATGGACAAAAGGGAGGAAGTTTGTTATACTAATATTATATAATATAGTGAGGTTTCATTTGGTATCACATGGTAATCACCAAAAAATCATGTTTTTTGCCAACCATCTGTTAACACAGTTGGTGAGAGGGTATCGAGTAGTAGCATGGCATTTAGAAAGAATAACTATACCAGGAGTCACAAATAGGAGAATGAGGAAGGGGGGCCTAACATTAAGTGACCACTTTTTATACAAGGCTCTGTGCTAGATGCCTTGCAAACACACACTTCTTTACTTCTTATATTCTTGTTATTGTTATTTCCATTTTACAGTTGAGTGAAGCTCAGGGGGATATAGATGCACTTATATGTAATAAGTGACCAATCTGGGATCCAGGTCTTTCTCACATATTCCTATTGACCTTGAGCAAATCACTTCTCCATCTATAAAATGGGAGTGATTGCTCTTCACTGTCATTATGAAGAACACACGAACTAATGGATGTCAAAGCTTCCAAGAAACTGGAAGGCTCAGCCAACATATAACATCTGGCATCTGGAAGTCATCATTCCTATGGGCCTCATGTTACTACATGTGTGAAAGACAGTATAGTGGAGTGGTTAAGGGCATGGGCTCTAGAATTTGGTTGTTTGAGTGCATCTCCTGGCTTTTTCATCTTACCAGATGGGTAACCTTGGGCAGCTTCTGTAACCTCTTTGTGCTCAGCTGTAAAATGTGACTGTTATCACTGTATACCTCCTAGAATTATAATTGTACAGATTGAGTTAATACCTGAAAAGTGCTTAGAATAGCACGAGCACATACTGAGTGCTCAGTGTTAAGCTCTTGATATTTTTATATTTTTGTCAGTCATTTGAATGAAGAATTTGAAAGCTAAGAATATAGTTTACAGCTTAAAACTTGAAATTAGTATTTCCTAAACTGGGTGCAATTCAGTAGAAATAAATATGAAATAGTTTTTGTTTATGGATACATAATTTACACAGACTCAGAATGGGATAACACTAATGATAGTCATTTTGGCTGCTATTCACTGAGCAGTTACTGTGTGCTCAATCTTTAAAAACATATCCTTGATGACGGTTGCACAATGATGTGAATATACTTAATGCCACAGAGCTGTACACTTAAAAATGGTTAAAAGGACAAATTTTATACTATGTGTGTTTAACCACAATAAAACATGCATGCAGTATATCCTAATTCATCCTCTCAAAAAAACCTGTGAGGTAAATATTATCTCCATTTTGTGATTGGGGAAATAGGCTTAGAGAAATTTAAGTAACTTGCCTAAAGTCACAGTTAGTGAGTTGCAGAGTAAGGATTTGAACTCAGGTCTAACAGTCACTAACTGTTAGCTTGCTAGAATATGTGCTGCCGAAGCGAGCACACTGTTAGCTTGCTAGAAACTACGACAGCCATTTGGATGTAAACCTTCGTTCCTTGATTATCCCTATGTGGTTGGTTGATAAATCTTTTCTTGGAAAAATTTAGGAATGTGACTGTGTTAATACTACACATTTAGTAATTTATATTCCTTTGTCATTTTCTTTTTAGAGGTCAGCTAGCAGTTTTTAAAGTTCGGTATTGAAGTATGCATTTTGATGCTTCCTACTGCTGTTAAAGTTAATATTCCAGATGTTACATTTCATCTGAGAATTTAGCTCTTCTGTTTGCAGATGACAAGTGCTACAGGCATTTGTTCTTCATTAGACTTTTTCATTAGTATTCCCTGGATGTTTCTTATTAATAAAAGGTGAAGTGTCTAAAAATGCTCCTCTTTTTCATTGTACTTTGGTTATCACTTGAACATTTTATTTTCATTGTATTGCCTTGCTTAATTATGGCAGTAGGCACAGGAATGTGTTTATCTCTTATTGTGCCAGACTTCTGACATGGGTAGGAATTTCTTGAACTGTTGAAATTATCTTCTCAGTGGTAGAGATTTTCTTATCAGTCTAGTCTATCTTGATTTCTTTCTCTTCACACCAGTATTTGGTAGGTGATAAGAAGGTTAAATTTAGACACTATAGTCTCTTAACATAACTAAAAATTGATGATAATGAATGTCTGTTTTTTTATATCTTGAGGTTTTTTATATTGGATTTTAGTATGTAATAACTAAGTATAGGGACGCCTAGGTGGCTCAGTCAGTTAAGCTACTGCCTTCGGCTCAGGTCATGATCTCAGGGTCCTGGGACTGAGCCCAGGATTGAGCCCCACATTGGGCTCCCTGCTCAGGGGGGAGCCTGCTTCTCCCTTTCCCTCTGCTGCTCCCCCTGCTTGTGCTCGCTCTCTCTCTGTGTCAAATTAATTAATTAATTAATTAATTTTAAAAAACCCAAGTATTCTCAAAGAATTGTGAATGCTGTCATCTCTGAAAGCAGTTACCCAAAAATGCCATGGAGCTTTGTCATTGATACCAACCTGTTTATTATTCTTATCAATAATTTAGATTAATTAATAGTTAATGTTTATTATGCAGTTACAATGTGCCAGACATCATCCTAGGCTTATTATATACATTATCTCATTTATTTCATTGAACAACTCTAAGAGATAGTTATGATCATTATTTCTAGTTTTTACAGATATGGGGACTAAGGCACACAGAGGATATGTGGTAACTTACCCAAGATCACATGGCTAGTAAGTAGTAGTACCATGATTTGAATTGAGGTGGTCTCCCTCCAGAACCCTTAGTAATTTTCACATGACAGGAAGCTAGAAGGAATAGTCAGCCTGAGAGAGATGATAGAATTAGGGTTCAAAGTCATTTTGGGAGGCAGGAGCTTTGTGCTAAAACAAACAAAATGCCATTAATAGGATTATGAATACAGTGTTGTAGAATTTGAGTTTTGTCTACCATCTCAACATACCACCCATGAGTAATGCAGCATCAGAAAACAAATTATTATACTCTATTAAGAAAAATGTAATATCCTATTTATGGTGAAATTATGCCTGGAATACTGTTTTACATTTTTGGCATATGTTTTAAGAAGGACATAGTCAAGGCAGAGTCCAGATGAAGGTAACCAAAATGGATAAAAAGTCTGGCAATTTTCATAGAAAGAATTGATTAGGTATTAACTGAGAACAAAAAAAAGGCATAATAGAATTACACTTAAATTTCAAAAGGATTATAGAAAGGATGGTGTGCATAAAAAGAGTTAACATACCAGGCCTGAAACTGCTATTCTTAGAAAATCTTATTTGCAAGATTGGCCCTTGGCTGGCATCTAGGAACTTGGAATTTAGAAAGATTCCCTCCACTCCCTGATAAGAATTGCTCACTGTGCCTAAACTGTATATACAAAGAATGTGGTTTATTTTGAACACCTGCT